ACAATCTTGGCTCCTGGGTTCAAGTGATTCTTCTTCTGCCTCAGCTTCCCGAGTAGCTGGGATTACAGGCATGTGCTACCACATTCGGCTAATTTTGTATTGTTAGTAGAGACAGGGTTTCTCCGTGTTAGTCAGGCTGGTCTCAAATTCCTGACCTCAGATGATCCGCCTGTCTTGGCCTCCCAAAGTGGTGGAATTACAGGTGTGAGCCGCCACCCCTGGCCCACACCCAACTAATTTTTGTGTTTTTAGTAGAGATGGGGTTTCTCCATGTTGGTGAATAGGCTGGTCTCGAACTCCTGACCTTAAGCGATCCACCCGCCTTGGGACTCCCAAAATGCTGGGATTACAGATGTGAACCGCTGTGGCTGCCTGGATGCTGTATATTTTGAGTTTCACCTTGTTAGGTGGTGGATAGCTACATTCCTGTAAAATAATTTTGAGTTTTGCTCTGGACAGTTAGGTTATTTGGAAACAATCTTATCCTTTTGGGAGTTCTTACCATTGGAGGTCTGGGGTGTGGTCAGGGGCATTTTCTCCAGGCTTGCTCCTCTCTCCTGGGACAGCTTTTCTGGAGCAGCAGGGCCCTTGAAGATCCTGATTCAGAGCTCACACATGGTGGCTCCCACCTGCATCCCTCCGGGTTCTCATGCTCCCATGGGCTCTGAGCTCAGGTCTTGTTTTGCTGGGCCTTGGGGCGAGTCCTGTGTTTCTGGGTCATGCTGTGACCAGGTCCGAGGGCAACAGCCTCCTCAAGGTTGAGCCTGCCCACCGTGCTGGGCCGGTCAGGAAGGTTGGGAGGGTGTTGGGTCTATGTTAGTCGGGCTCCTGAGGCTCAGGGCGGGGTTTGTCTCTGTGAGTTGCTGCTTTGTGTTGGCCTTTCCCTCCAGGCCTGTCTGCCCAGAGCCTGCACTGAGGGGAGTCAGGGTGCCCATGAGAATCACCGGGTGGCGCTCAGCAGTGGTGGGTGGCTGGTCAGCCCACGCTGGTCCGTGTGCTGTGAAAACTCCGCTCAGACATCTGGCCGAGTGGGAAGGATGCAGGTGGACTGGCTGCCTGGAAGTCACTGAGTGCTATCCTTAGCAGCAAACGGGGTGTGTTGGCAGGTGTTCTGTGCTGCCCTTTCGGTTTCCAGGAGCTGGGCCTGCACGGAGACCTGCCTTTCCCCGCTTCTGGACAGGGAGGCTGAAGCCTGTGCATGTGAACAGCTGTTACTCTTTCCGTTAGAGCAAGGGCTCCAGTGGTGGGAGCTGCCCTCTGTGCTGCTGGCCATGGCCACACAGGACACAGCTCAGGGATTCTTAGATGGCGGCTCTCCCCTGGGGCCCAGCCCGTCTCAGCCCTGGTTTCATCTGTCATCCACAGTGCCATAGTCACTGTTATCCACAGGAAGTGCCTGCCCATGGCCTTGGTGGCATTCAGGAGGGTGGGGAGGTTCTGGCCTGGCTGTCTGGGCAGTGTTGGTGCTGGGCCCCTTGGCACTGACCTGTAGCTTGTGTGCAGGTACGTGCAGCACTACGGCCTGGGCAGTGCCTGTGACAACATAGAGCGCATGCTGAAGCATGTGGCCGTGAAGCTGGGGAAGACGAAGAAGGTGAAGATGCTCACGGGCACCGGTGAGTGAGGCTGCTGATGCAGGCACTGGAGCCTCCGCCCTTTACCCAGGGTGACCCGACTGTCCCAGAGGAGGCAGGGAGGGGAGGACGTGTTGAGGTGTGCAGGTGGCTCTTCTGGGAATGGGTGCAGGGCAGGGGAGCTACAGAAAGTTGTGGAGAGGAAGGGCTCGTAGTCCAGGCTTCCAACGGTGAGACAGGCCCCGGCCCGTGCTGGGCAGTGCTAGGTGGACACCTGCAGGCCTTGCATGCCTGGCTTTGGAGGCTCCAGGCAGTGCAGCTCAGGCTGTTTTGTTTCTGAGTGTGATCCCATTCCCCAGGCTTCCCTGATGCCACCCTAGGGGCTCTTGGGGCTGGTCCCTTGGGTGGGTGGGGGCTGGGCCTGCCCTGCTGTGAAGGCGCCTTCCTCACTGAAGCCTCCCGTCCCCCAGGTGACGTGAACGTTATTCAGCCTGACTATTCTGCGGCAGCCCGGGACTTCCTCCACACCTTCCGCCGCGGGCTGCTGGGCCCCGTCATGCTGGACCTCGACGTCCTGCGGGGCCACCCCCCGGCCGAGATTGTGCCCTGAACCTGTTGCAGAGGGGAGGGCACCGGAGGCTTGTGGCCTCCCAGACCTCCTGACCGGGGTGGTTGAGTTTCAGGACAGCTCACCCGGTCCAGAAGCTCCACGCTGGCCACTAGGGTGCTGTGCTCTCTGGCGACCCCACGGCCTGGTCAGCTCCAGGGGCCCTGGTTCCAGGGGCGGAGCGGATGGGAGTGGACACCAGGCTTCCCAGTCGGCTCCCCAGCAGCCCCACATGCTTGGTTCTCCCGGAGCTTCTTGCCCAGTGCCTCCGTCTCAGAAGTTCAAGCTATGACCTGTAACCTTTCAAATCTCCAATTAAAGGGCCTGTTTGTTACTGGGCAGGGAGGTGTGCCACAGTGCTTTGGGCCTGTGTGTGGAAGTTGGTCTCACCAATGGAACCTAAGAAACGAGCAGGTTGGCAGCTGAGGCTTGTTTTGGAGGCTTTCAGTCCCGTGTCCTGCAGTCCTGCAACAAGGAAGAGGCTGGCTGCCAGCAGAGGGGTTTATTTCACACTTAAAGGTGCACACAAACATGGTCAGGAGACTCCCAACAGCAGAGCCTGAGCACTGGCTTTGCCCCTCGGTGCCCTGGGTCTTGTTCCAGGGCAGGGGTCAGGCGGACGCCCTGTACATGGCTTTGCTGTGCACAGACTGAAAGGTTGCCCAGCATGGGCAGCAGAGACCCCTGGTCTCTGAACACCTTCTAGCCCATGGGGTAGTGGGATTCTGCAGTAGTGGGGCTGAGGGGGGTGGGGAAGAGGGAAGAGGAAGGAGGGCGGGTGGAGCTGGTGGTGTGGGGCCTGGGGCCAGCGACATCCTGTGCAGAAGCTCCGGCCGCCTCTTTGCAGTGGTGGCCTGACCTTCCCACAGCAGCCTCCAGCATGGCCCTGGTGCTCAGCGGCCCTTCCTTGCTGGCTGGCCACCTCTGCTGCCCCAACCCCACACACTCAGCAGCCTGAAGTTAGTCCCCAAGTGCCACCTGCATCCTGCTGTAACCCTGACCGCCCATGGCAGGAAGTACTGAGGAGAGTGGATGTGTCAGATGCTAATGTGCTGAATAAAGGATCACTGCAGAGCATGGTGTGTCCACATCTGGAACGTTCCATCAGCTTGCAGTGCTGTGCTGTGTGAGGATCTGGTGCAGCACAGCCCATTTTCCCAGTGGGCGTCTGCAAAGTCAAGGGGGGCTCTGGTGTGTTTCCCTTCCTTGAGAGGACTCGGACCACTCCCTGCCTCCTGGGGGAGATGGTAGAAGGGCTCCTGCCTGTGAGGCTCTGCTGGCCTTGGTGCATTGAGCTCGATCTGGAAGGATGCAGGAGCATTGGGCCGGGGGCACTGCTGGCAGTGTGGATGGGAGGCTGCAGGTGTGGCTTAGTGCCCCTGTGCTGGAGAGCAGTGCTTGGTCCAGAGTCCTACCAGCAGCTTCCAGATGCTCACCTTGGCTGGAACCCAGGCCAGCTGGGGAAGGCAGAGGCCGGTAGGGCCCGTGGGAGGTGCTGGTCTCGACTTCCGTGTCTGTCCACTGAGGCCAGAGGCTCAGGTCAGGAGGCTGCAGCTGGCTGGGGTGAGGGCCTCACCAGCGCACAGTGAGGGTGAGATCCCAAGGCCACGGGGGCCAGGGGGAACCCACACTACCTTGGATGAGTCGGGTGGCTGGAGAGCTAGATAATGTGGCAAACCCAGGACCCCTCAGTGCAGAGCCCATGGAGGATGCCCCAGGCTGGCACTACTGGGAAGCAGGGGGCCGGTCTTACACACAGGTATCCGGTGCCGGAGCCAAGTCCTTGTCAGGATGCCAGGTGCCTCCTGGAGGCCACTCTGTGTCCCTCATGTCCTTGGATGGCCAGAGCCCTTGGAGACATTGGGGGCTCAGCCTCTTGCATGGGTGTCCTGTGGGGTGCTGGGCCTCGCTGCTGGCTGCCTGCTCGCTCCGTGGTAGTTGGCTCTTGGTTCCACTGGGCAGACCGTCAGCTGCCAGCTGCTTCCAAGGAAGGGGCTGCCTGCAGGGAAATCGGGAACGGTGCAGCCTGAGCTGGGCCCAGGGAGGGCTCTTCAGTGGGATTGGCAGTTGCCGTGCCCTGAGTACAGGCAGAACCGTGTGATCCCTGAAGGTGAACCTAAAGTTCAAAGGAATTGGAAAGCTCTGGAATGTGTCAGGATTTTTTCCCCAAAATGGTTCCCGAGGAGAGTAAAGTGACTTGTTGAAGTTGCTGGAGCAAAGTGGGTCTCAGATCTCTGCCTGAGGTGTGGGGGACAAGGCCTGGGCAGCCCCTCTGGGGCAGCGTATGTCCTCCCACGAGGGAGACAGCCAGGATGGACACGTTTCCTGCCTGGGAGTGTTCCTGGATTGTGAGAGCCACAGGGTCTTGTCTTGTGGGCAGGTGGTTAGCACCTAGCGTGTTCTCCTCACTCCCCCCAAATCCGTAAGTCCTTTGGTCCATTTCATTGCTGCTTTTGGGGAGGGCCATGGTCCTCGGGGCCTCAGTGGCAAAACCAGCCTGAGGTCACCTCCCTGCCATGGGTCACCAGGGCCCCTGGGCAGGGGAGGGGAGCAGGGGTGGCTTGGATGCCTGGTCTGGCACCTCCCTTTGGGTGGCTCTGGAGCATGGCCGGGCGGGTGATACAGGAGCCACCGGCAGCTGCCTTTCTGGCTGGGGGGACCCTAATATGCTGGAGCTGGTGGGGCAGGACGCATGGTCCTCTGGAGGTGGGAGATGAGGGCGGTGTGGGCAGGACGGTGGATGGTGGGTCCACAGGGACAGCCTGCAGCTCCTGCCCCCGCTGGGGCTCAAGGCTGTGGGCAAGGGAGGGAGGGGGAGCCCAGGCCTGAGGACTTGGGGAACGGGCCGGGGACCAGATGTGATCCCCGAGCCCAGCCTGGCCTAGGGCCGCAGCAGCCCCAGGAGGGCGCCGCCCAGCACGAGACAGAGGTGCGGGTCTGGCGTGGGCCCAGCGCCCGAAGTCCACGCCCGGTAGCTGTAGATGCCGGGGCCGGTCCCGTTGCCTCCGGGCACCCAGTCCTCGTCGTCCTCCAGGCCGCGCTCCCCGGGCCCCGCGGCCCTTCTCCAGCCCGAGCCTGTCGCCAGGCCCGCGGCAGCACCCGCCGCCGCTCCCGCCGCCGCCCCCGCCGCAGCCACGCGCAGGGAGGAGCCCGGGGCACCGTAGCGCGGTGCCGGCCTCACGCGCACCCTCGAGGCCCCGCGCGCCCCCCCGCGGAGTCCTCCCCGGGCGCTGCCTCGGGCCCCTCCGCGGCCGCCCTTGGCCGCGCCGCTGTCGCAGAGGAAGGCGGCTGCCAGCAGCAGAGCCCAGCACGTTGCGGGCGCCCAGTTCATCTTCGTGGGGCAAAACCTGCGAGAAGACAGGGAAAGGGCCCTCAGCGTCCACGAAGATCGGGTGCCCAGGGCCTGGGGCGGAGGGACCCTCGGCTTTTGTGGGGTCAGGGAACCCCCAGCATCTTGGAGGACTGCTCAGGCCTGGGGTGGGGCTGGGGTCGCGGTTGAACCTTTGGCATCAGGGACTGAGCCTGGTGGAGGCGCTGGGAAGTGGCAGGTGGGGCGGGAGGGCTTTGCGCTTGAAGGTTGTGCACCTGGGTGGGAGCGCACCCGGCCCGCGGTGGGAGCGTCTAGGCCTGGGGAGACGTCCAGGCCCTGTGGGGGGATACCTGGGGGAAGGACAGGCTTGGGGGCGCCATGCTCCTGGGTTCTGCGCGCGGTGCTGGGGTGGGGGTGGGGTAGCACGGGAGGAGGGGTGATGTGTTTGGAGGACGCAGTTGCGGGGACCAGGGGCTGCCTCAGATCAGGTCTGGAACAGGGACGGGCCGTGCGTGGGCCTGGTGCCCACCTTAGGGTCCAGAGCCAGGTGCGGGCCTTGCTGGGGCAGGGGAGGACGCGCGGCTGCTGACCCCGGGGGCCGGTCCCTTCCGCTCACGCCCCGCGTTCGGCACCTTCCCCGGCCGCCCGGTTCAGCAGCTGGCGGGGGACAGGACGGGGTCGAGTCTCCGGGCCGCCTCCGGGAGCAGCGATTCGGGCGACGGCTGGATCCCTCCCGGCGCCGCCCCGCGCTCCCCGCCCCACACCCGCCCCGGCCTCCCGGCCTTACCCGCCACCGGCCTCGGTTGGAACCTCGCACCGGAGTATCCGCCCCAGGGGCCGCGGCCGAGCGGGAGGGTGCAGGCGGCGGCGCAGACCCTCAGCCGGAGCGATGAGCCGCGGCGCCTGGGTTTTGCGCAAGGCGTCCGCCCTGGGATTGGGGCGGGCAGTCGCGGAGGCTGGTGGGAGGGGAAAAGGCAGGCTCCGTCCCGCCCCCCCCCTCCCCGCCGCCTCCCACCCTCCGTCACCGGCCCCCTCTGTCTCCCACCTAGCAAGGGCCCTCGCCCCGTCCCGACCGCCCCCCGCGTCCCCGGCCCCGCTCCAGCCTCCCCGCTTCCCCCCTCTCCATACCCCCGTCCCCACCCGGGCCCATCCACCTGTGCGCCCCCGTGCCCTGGGACGAGGCCCGAGGTCCCGAGAGGAGAGGGCGCCAGTGCCCGCCCCACGCGGCCGGAGCGCATCCCGCGGCCCCTGCCCAGGCCTGCGCCCCTTCTCCACCGGCTGAAAGCTGCGGGGTCGCGCGGGGACCTCCTCAACCTCCCGCCTCGTTTTAGTGCGGATGAGGTCGACCCTTGGAATCCCCTAAGGCCCCCCGGGCCCCTCCTGGCCCGGCCGCCCCCTCCCGTGGCTTCTGATGCCACCCGGGCCCGCGGCGTCTTCCCAGCCCCGGGCGGCGGCGCCTGCGGTGAGTTTCAGCCCGGGGCGCGAGGCCAGCTCCGAGCCTGGGACCTCTGCTGCCCGTGTGGGGGCGCCCGGCAAATAGGGGACGAATAAGGGAGTAAATACGTCTGTCTTCCAACCAGCCGTGTGTTAGAGGGAAACATTGTGGGATAAAAACCAAGCTTATGCTTCTCATTTCTAGCCACTGCGAAGAAATCGGACAGAGGCTTAGCTTTTCGGGCGAGACGGACAACAGTGTTTTTAGAGCATTTCTCAAGAAGGGCTGGAATGAACGTGTATTTGAAAGTGACCGACAGGTGTTCTGGCCCGAGGCGCGGCCCGAGCAGGTCCCCCCGGCTTCCCTCCGAGACCTGATGAAAACCACAGAAAGTAAATTGACAAGGAGAGCAGGAAGGGCCCCAGGTGCTGCCCGTCAGGCAGAAGGAGCTTGTGGGGGGCGGGGGCGCGGCCATGGCATGTGGAGATGGAAGCAGGGGTCCTCACAGGTGTGCGCACGCTGGTCTAGCTCCCTCCCTGGTCACACACAGAGCAGCCATCAGTGAGCTGCTTACCCCAAGGAGTCAAGGGGGTTTCTGTGCAACCCCTGGTGCTGGAGCTGGCAGTGGACAGCGCTCAGACCTCCCTTAGTTTTGGTTCATGGGGAGTGTCTGTGGCCGTTCCCTCCCCTGCCTAGGAGGGGACCTGTGACCTCCCCTCAAGATGGCTGTGCAGCTCCCTCCCTCCGGCTGTGGGCAAGGAGGGGATGATTCCCAGCACAGGCCCAGGACTGCCAGCCCAACGGCTGGGAGGGGCCCCTTACCCCTAGACTCTGCGCTGTGAGGCCACGTGTGCAGCCTCACAGGGAATCTGAGATGGGAGCAGCCAGAGGGGGCAGGACCCAGGGGGAGAAGAGGTCCTGGTGGCGCGGGGGATCTGGATCCAGCGTGCCAGAGCTGAGGTTCTGGGGTGAAACGCTTCACGGGGCTCTCCGTCGCCTGCAGTGAACAGCCCCCGGCCTGTGGCTGGTTCCCGACCTCCTCGTTCTAAGGCCGAAATACAGGGAGCTCCCAGGCAGCACCCCCAATGGCTTCATTTTAAAGGATGAAAATTTATCGTACATTCAAGGAGAGCTGCATCACGTAAAAGACCAGGTAAAGAAACAAAATAAATGGATCAAGATATGTGAATGAATCAGAGGAAACTTAAAAAATGCTCCAATCCATAGACTCAAGACTGGGTAGATACATTTACATAATAAGAACAAGAAATGGTGAAGATGGAGTAAGACAAAAGCAATTTTGAGATTAAAAAACTGTTGCAAAAAAAAAAAAAAACAGAATTGTACATGTCAGGAAATCTTTCTGGCAACAGGACAGCAAATAAGAAAGAAGGGGATACACCCTGGGGATGTGTTCGGGGGGATGCGTTTTGGGCTCTAACATCTGACAGCTGTTCTGAGACCACAACGGGAGAAGGAAGGGGGAGGTGGTGCTCCGGCTGATTGCATGATTCCGGAGGCCTCCTATCTTTTTTTTGTTTTAATGTAATTTTTTTTTTTTTTTTTTTTTTTTTTTTAATAGAGACAGGGTTTCAACATGTTGGTCAGGCTGGACTCAAACTCCTGACCTTGTGGTCCACCCACCTCGGCCTCCCAAAGTGCTGGAATTACAGGCATGAGCCACCGTGCCTGGCCTGCCTCCTATCTTAACATGCGTAGGATGTATCTAGGGTGCATAAGAGAAGAAAGAGGGAAACATTTAGGCTGTTTTATGTTTGAATAGAGACATGAAAGTTTTAAATAAAGCCGTAGCAAAATGAATTCAGTGGCACATCAGAAAGCAGATCACCATGATCAAGTCAGTTTCGGGGTGGTTTTACGTCATGAGATACGTCAATGTGCTTTACCCATTAGTGAGCCAAAGGCGAAAAAGACGGTTTTCTACAGAGGAAGACAAAGCAGTTGATTTTAGTCAACCTTCTTTTGTGGTGAAACCTGTTCAGAAAACTGGTCATAGAAGCAAAGTTTTTTCTTTGACAAAGGCTAATCTCAGAAGACATATGTAGTGGAGAGCTTTTAAATGTGTTTAAAAATATGAACCAAGAAAAGATTGCCTACTTTCACCACTTCTATTGAGCACAGCAATGGCAGAACTGCCAATGAGAACACACACACTGAACGCGCGGTGGCTCCTGCAGCTGCAGCCCTGACGCCTGTTTCTGCCACAAATGCTGCAGCCCGCGGAGGCCAAGGCATAGGCGTAGCTGGTGAAACCTACAGCCGAGGGTGCCAGGGGTGCCGGGGGTTCCTGGGAGAGCCTCTGTCCCTGCTAAGCTGGGGGGCGGGGGTACGTGCAGAACCTGTGTGCTCCTGTCCTTTCCGCCATTTTCCTGCCTGGACTTGGGGACTTGGTGCGACCCCAGGATGCTGGGTCAGCCGCTAAGCGGGTGGGGGGCGGGAAGGCCTGTCGTCCCTGGCACACGCGACTGCTCTGTGCTCTGCACTGCTGGGCGCCCTACGTCTCGTCCCTGTATTAAGCAGTTACTCCCTGGACTTGCAGCCAGATGGGTACCTTAGACTTAAAAGGTGGTAGAATTTCTCTACCAGAACAAGAAATAGCTTTAGAAAATATAAAATAAAAAGCCATTCATAGCTGGGCATGGTGGCTCATGCCTGTAATCCTAGCACTTTGGGAGGCCGAGGCGGGCAGATCACCTGAGGTCAGGAGTGGTGGCTCACGCCTGTAATCCCAGCCCACCCCTGTGCCGGTCCCCCATGGATGAGCTCACTCTGGGTCTTTGGGTGTCTGTCGGGGGTGATGTGAGGCTGTGCACCAGGAGGTTCTGGGTCAGGTCTTAGCGAGGTCAGACCCAGTGTGGCCAAAGCCCTCACCTTTGCACACCCCAGGGCAGCCAGAGGAGCAGACGGAGCCCTGCATGCCCCCCAGACCCCACAAGCCCAGAGCAGAGGTGCCGGTCCCTCAGGGCCTCCCACAGGCTGGCTCCACCTGCCTGCTCAGAGCAGTCGGGGCAGGAGGTTGATGGGTCTCCCACCTCCTGATCTCTGGCCAGGCCACTGTGAAGGGCACAGGGTTGACTGCAATGAGGGTGATGAGGGAAGGGTGGAAGCTGTCCACCGAGAGCTTTGAATGGGTCTGTGAGGGGTGGGTTTTGGTTCCCAGATGTGCCTGCAGTTAGATGTCTGAGGGCAGTTGGGCAGGTTGTGGGGCTGAGCTGGCACAGTGGTGGGGGAAGGAGCTGCAGCAGCTACCCTGGGAGGTCCCCACCCCTCTCGGGGGGGTGAGCCCCAGACCCCAATCTTGTACTCTGCCCCCGGGTCTGTCTGTGCCTGAACAGCAGAGGGATCCCGGTGGACAAGTGAAATTCCCAGGTGACCCTTGAATCAGCCTTCTACCAACCCCCCCTCGCTGGCACTCTGGGTTTGGAGCTGGTGCTGCCCCCGGCTCACCTGGTGAGGCAGCTTCAGAGACCCCCACCCACAGTGGTGGCCAGGACAGAGCGCGGGGGGTTTCGGGGGGCCCCATGGGCAGCCTCGGGAGGCTCATGCGCTGCGCTCCAGAGAGGGGCTGGGCTGACGACAGCTCTGGCTGAGGACCGTCTGCAGCCCCCCAGCGCCTCAGGCGATGTGGAATGGTCATCAAGGCAGCTCAGGGCTCAGGGCTCAGGGCTGGGGCTTGGGCCTGGGTTCGGTCCTTGAAGCCTCCCCCAGGCCTCTGCGTGGAGATCAAGGTTGTGGCGGGCCCGCCACCCTCAGAGGTGCGTCTCCCTCAGCCTACCTGCACCCGCCGCTGGTGTTTTTTATTCGGCTCCTTTGTGACCTTGCCCTCCCCACCCCGTATCTGCTCCCCATCCCAGATGGCTCTAATTGCAAATTTTCTCTCCAGTGGAACTCCCAGAGTGACGTGTAAGGCGCTCTGCAGGCCCATGGAGGGGCCCGGGCTGAGCTGGGAGGCCCCCAACCTCCGCTGTACTCAGCAGCAAATAGACCTTTCGTGCCACTGCCTCCCGCTGCCCCGGGCTCTGGGGCGCCAACCTGGGACAGGCCTCAGACCCAGGGCCTTTCCCTGATGCTGCCCAGTAGCCTTCGGAACACCCGTTTCATTTTGTTTTTTCTGGAGGCACGGCATGTATTCACCTATTTACAAAGTCACACAGGGAGCACAGAACCTCCCTCCACGCAGGACTGAGCCAGCCAGCGAGCTCCGTTCCGCCCCTCCCACCCCAGAGGGAATGTTAGTTGGGACTCTGGCTGCTGAAAGCCCGGTGATTACCGACTTGGATTTGAGCGTCCTAACCTCGGGCTGTGGGCTGTCCTCTCGGTCCTGCTCTTTCCTGTCAAGATTCTCATCTGCACAGCAGCTGCACTTCACCCATTTGGACACCTGCGTAACATTCCATGGTGTGACTGCACCACAAGTCACAAGCACATTCTTTGTCCACGGACACTTGGAGCGATTCCCAGTCCTCTGTTACTGTGAATGGTACTGGTGACATTCCTGTGCCTGGTTCCTGGTTGTCGTGTGTGAATATTTCTCTTGAATCCACCTGTAAGAATGGGAATGCTGGGGTCAAACCAGCCCGGCCAACATGGCGAAACCCCATCTCTATTGAAAATACAAAATTAGCCAGGTGTAGTGGTGGGTGCCTGTAGTCCCAGCTATTCCGGAGGCTGAGGCAGGAGAATCGCTTGAACCCGGGAGCCAGAGGCTGCAGTGAGCTGGGATCTCGCCACTGACTGCACTCCAGCCTCAAAAAAAAGGGAAAGGTACTTTTCCTGTGTACAGA